CGTCACACGCAATCGTGCGCCCCAATATCTGAAACCTTCGGTCTTCTCAACTGCATTTCCCAAATGTTCATCATGATCAACGATTCTTTCGGTCGATTTGGCCCCTTTGTTTTGAATTTCAAACGATTACCCTTCCTGCCAAAAGCCTATAAATACTGAAAATCTCTCATTCGCACTTTACGCTCCCAAAACTTTCTGAAAAACTCTCGCTCTTATTCTCCAGCACCTTTCTTTTTCAAGTCTTCGTCTTCAAATCTTTGTTTTCAGATTTCCAAACCCAGAAAAACTCCATTCGCGTCGTGCTTTTCAATCTTCCTACAATGGCTTCCTTTATTTCCAAATTCTCCAAGGAATGCGACCAGTGCCAAAAAATTCTTGACCGAAGCTCAATCAAAACTATACGGTTTGAAAGTGACATGAGCACCATTCACCAATCCTGGGCCCTCTCTTCAAAGCAACCGTACCATCAACTATCACCGAGCTTCTCCAGGAACACTGCTTGTCACCCTTGTTCCAAGGGTTTGAATGGTCAAGATGGGAGGCAGCGAAACCCCAAGGCTCCTGGCCTTCGACCACTACAACCTGGGCAGCCTGGGTCGTTCGAATGGAGAAGCTCTTCGGCGAGCAATGGAAAGTCCTCGGCATTTACGACGCCATTCTTCTTTCGTCTATGGACATCGTTCTCGACAAGGAGCTTCTCCTAGCCGCCCTATGCTTCTGGTGTTCGGCCACCAACACCATGGTTCTCCCTCTTGGTCCTATCGGCCCCACCATTCTTGATGTTACTGCTATCTTGGGGACTTCAGCAACTGGAATCCCCATCGATGCTGCCCTCTCCGGATATCGGTCGAATCTCGACTTGAAGACGCTCTTCGACCGACGGGCTTTTGAGACGTTGAGCCGTGAGGGTCATATCCTCTCAAAAGAAGACGTTCAGAAACTCCACAAGAACTTCTTCAACTACAACACCCTCTATCTCCATTTCGCTGGCCGAGGAGAAGAGGCCCTGCGGGAAGGGGAACATGAAGCTTTCCTTTTCTACTGGTACAACAAGTACATTTGTTGTACCAAATCGAACAAATGCCTGGTCGAGAATATGCCAGTGGCCGAGGCCCTGGCTAGCGGTCACGTCCTGGCACTTGGCCCCAACATCTTGGCCCATCTCTTCCGTTGCCTGGCTGAGACGACCCTGCACAAAATTGACCCATACCAGAATGGTCCTCTCTGGGTCTTCCAACTCTGGCTCCAAGTGTATTTCGCCTCCCTTCGGCCCGCCATCGTCGATTTCTCACCCACAAAGGCGCTTGGACCTCAGCTGGCCTCTCGACCAATACCCCCTCACCGAGCCGAAGAAATATTTAAATTCTTTTTCGCCCTCGACGATCTCTCCAACGATGAGTTCCTGATATGTCGTCGTCGGGAATATCCTTCCTCGGTCAGGCTACCTATATCGGCGTGGAACGCAGATGAAGACGCCGACCTTCGTCAGTCCTGGGGGTCATTCGTGCTTGCTCGCGACCTCCCCCTCGGCTGCGATGGAAAACGAGCGGGCTGGGAAGTGTATCATCCCAACTTCCTTGTTCGGCAGCTTGGTTACCTCCAAGGTTGCCCAGTCCCCCTTCTCTCCTCTCGGTCCGTCCTAAGTCGCGGACGCGAACCTGGCTCATCAGAGAAGGAGTGTGCCGACGCCAAGAAGGAGTTCCAGGAACGGTGCCAGAAATTTCACCTTCGACCGGCCACTCCAGAAACCCTTTGCACCGACACCTTCGGTGATTGGTGGGACAGTTATACCCAACGGTTTTTTGGGGTCTCGGTCGATACCATTGTGGACACACTTTTTGGTGGTCGACCTAAAAAGTCTTCTGCCCCCCAAACCCAAGGTAATGGTTTATTTCTACCTTTTTCTTTCAATTTTGAACTACTGATCTACCTTGCTGACTTGCTTTTATCTTCTCAGGTAGTCGGCCTTCGAGAAAAACAGAGGCTCTCGCCGCGGCCACGGTCGAGAAAAAATTGGCCGTGGTTAAAAGGGATAAGGCTGCTGGTCGGGCCGTGTTGACCAAACGCCCTCGCCAAGAGGCCGAACCGATCGTCGAACCTCCGCCGCCTGCCAAGCGGGTAAAACAGCTGGCCAAGAAGGGCACACGGGAGATCCACGTCATCTCCAGCCAAACTACAAGGGCGACGACTCCCAGTGTTTCCCCTTCTCCTGCCGTTGTTCAACCCTCGATCGAGAAACAGCCCGCCCCGGCCGCTGCGACAGTTCGAACGTAGCCTATCTCTGGGACTGGTACACCAGTTGTGCCTCCCTCCGTCGAGGAAACACCTGCTAAAAAAAAAATGGTTTCTGCGACCGAGGGAACCACCCTTGGAAATCCAAAACCCTCGGTCTTCATTCTGGAAGAGAGTGAGGGGAGCGACGAGGTCCCGCTGGCAGATCGTCCTCACTCTCGTCGGCAACCTCTCCCAAGGTCTGAGATAGTGGTTCAAACCAGCCCCTCCACGGCTGATCGTGGAAAGCGCCCGGTCGAGGAACCGACGGCGGTGGCTGAACCCCTCGCTCATTCTCAGGACCAGGATGTCCCTGCCTCATTCGAAACGGCTGCCCCGGTCGGCCCATCTGCAGCAGACCGTGGCAAACGCCCGCTCGAGGAACCCGAGGCAACGGCGGAATCGCCCGTTCATCCCCAAGACCAGGGCTTCCATATTCCTCCACAAGAGGTTACCTCGGCCTTCGTAAGTACCTTCGACCATCTTTCCTTGATTGCTTTTTTTCTAGAATTCTAAACAAGGAAAATACTAAATGTCAGGTGTCTGTACATTCTTTTCACCGACAATTCTTCGCGCTGAAGGGCGTTATCTACATTTCTTGGCCGCCTCAGTGGCCATCAAACGTAGATAATCTCCATCGACAGCGTGAACTGAGAAGCAATCTGAAACACTGGGCTCGGCCATTAAGTTCTTTAGGTTCGAGCAACGATCCTGGAGACATGGCCGAGGTCTCCTCTCGGCAGGTTAAAAAACACGAAACCTTCTTGCTATTCTTGTCATGACTTCTTTTAAACTTAACCTGATTTGTATGTGCAGGCTTCATGGGAGGTCGAATTCAAAGCCCTACTCTCCAGCACAACTGCAGAGTCCGGTCCTTCGGCTGCTACAACTAAAACTGCCGATCCAAGCGCCCTTACCCAGTTGCGAGAAGTCTTGTCGCTTTCAACATCGCAAGTACTTGAGCGCAACGGTCTTGATCTACTCGACGTATGCCTGAACGACCTTGGAGCCGACGGTCGCCTGAGCGGAGATGCCATAGTTCGGGCATCGTCTGCCTTGGAGCGTGTTCGGGAGACATTTAGTATCTTCCAGACCGCTCTAAAGGCCGAACAGTACCTACAAGCCGCCATGGCCGTTCAAGACACCCTCCGTCCGAAGATCGACGATCTACGGGCAAAAGGAGAAGCGTTAGCCGAGCTCGACCGTCAGCTGACCGCACTAGCAAAACGTCGGTCGGCCATTGCTTCCGAGCTCGCTAAAGACTTTGAGTCAGGCGGCAAGGATCGCCTAACTGAGTATGCGGCAACCAAAAAACGGGTCGAGCAGCTGAAGCTGGATAAAAAGAATCGGCAGGCCGAAGTTATCATGGCCGACGTGCGGTGGTTGGAATTGAAGGCCCTGCTCAGCACTCTTCTACCCTCCTCTCATTGAACGACTTTGAATGTAAACCAATCGACCCACTTATTTGTAAATGCTTATCAATCGTAATGGACTAGTTTTCTATTCCCGCATTTCCCATGTGACCGGATAGTATTTCTTCAAAAACTTCCCATTGATCGGTAATCTGTGAACTACACCGGTTCGGTCTTTAAGATGATACGCCCCTTTTCCGTATACTTTATGCACAATGAACGGCCCTTCCCAATTCGGCGACCACTTGCCGAACCTAGGATCTTTTAGCCCTCCGGGCAACACCATTTGCCACACTAATTCACCCTCGCCGAATGTTTTCTGTCGCACCTTTTGATTATAGGCCCGCTCAGCAATCTGTTTTTGTGCCACCAACAAGTTGTAAGCGTCAAGCCGCGCTTCTTCCAAATCTTCTAGTTCCTGTCTCATGGACTGATTATATTCGGCGCTAAACAAACTACTTTGTTCAATTAATCGCAACGAATTTATGCTCAACTCGACTGGTAACATTGCATCGTGTTCGTAGGTTAATGCGTATGAGGTTGTCGCGGTCGCCGACCGGGGCGTCGTTCGGTATGCCCATAATGCCTCGTTCAACTTCAAATGCCACATGCCAGGTCTTTCTTTTATTATTTTTTCGAGGATGCCGATCAACACTTTATTACTTGTCTCGGCCTGCCCATTCGCTTGTGGATAATACGGTGTGAACTGTTCCAGCCGAATTTTTCAAATTTGCCGTGTATTCTTTAAACCTTTCGGCTGTGTGAAGATTGTTCCATTGTCGGTTATGATCGTTTCTGGTACACCGAACCGGGTCACAATGTGTTCCTTCACGAAGTCGCAAACCTCTTTAGATGTTAACTCGGCATATGATTTTGCTTCGACCCATTTAGTAAAGTAATCAGTCGCGACTATTATCCATGCATGCTTAGCAGCTCCAGAAGTCGGAGTGATTTTGCCGATTACGTCCATGGCCCATCCTCTAAACGGCCACGGCTTAATGACCGAATGTAGTGACTTGGCCGGGACCCTTTGTATAGGCCCATGGATTTGGCACTGTATGCATCCTCGTGCAAACTCGATACAATCTTTCAGTATTTCTCGCCCAAAAATAGCCGTGTCGTCGGAGTAGCCATCGCATTTTCCGTCCGGATTGATGAGCTCCGCATACCCCTTCATGAACCTCTGCGATCGCCCGAGCATTCTCTTGGGGGCCGAGGCATAGTAATAACAAACCATCTTCACCCTTTCGGTATAACTCGTTCTGGTACGTGACATAGTTCGTGGCGTGAACCCGTGTCCTGCGACTATGTTTCCCGTTAGGATTGTCCAGGTACTGCATAATGGGTGTTCTCCAATCATCCGGTATCACCTCAGTCGTGCAAATCTCGACAGAGTCCTGCCGATCTAACAACGAAGGTAAGGACATAACCCTGGTGCGTATCACGTCGTCCCGTCGGAGGATTTGCTGGTTAACCAAGGCTGGGTATAACTGCCGTATCACTGGTATCTCTTGGCCTAGTTTGCCCCCCAGGAGTTGTGCGCCGGAGGCAATTTGAGCCAATTCATCCGCGTCGGTATTATGACACCGGGAAATATGTTGAAATGTAATACCGTCGAAGGATTCGGCCAAATAGCTGGCGACCATATGGTAAGGTGCCAGGGTACAACTCATGCAACGAAAGGAACCATTAAGTTGGTTAATCATAAGCTCGGAGTCACCGAGGACGAGGGCGCGGGTTGCCCCCAGGTCATGGAGAATTCCAAGGCCGATGATTAGGGCTTCATATTCGGCCTGATTGTTGGTGTAGTCGAAGTCCAACTTAAGCGAAAAGAACCAACGATCGTGATTCAGGGATTGAATGACAATTCCCACGCCCGCCGAAGATAACGTACTGGGGCAGTCAAAATACATCGTACAGTGGTTGTCGCGCGTCTGAACCATGCCGATGTCAACGTCGTTGCCCCCAAAACCGTATGGGGAGGGATGTTGAGCAAGGAAATCAGCCAATGCTTGGCCCTTGACGGCTTTCTGAGCTACATATTGCAAGCTAAACTCGGACAGTGCCATGGTCCATTTCCTAATGCGGCCTTTTACGATCGGTCGAGTGAGCATGTAGCGGATGACGTCGGTCTGCGCAATAACCTGGGTAACCGATGGGAGCATATAATGCCGAAGCTTGGAAACGGCGAAAAAAACGGCTAGGCACAGCTTCTCGACGGCTAAATAATTGATCTCTGGTCGACTGAGATTGCGGCTGAGATAAAAAACAGCATGTTCCCGTTCGGCGTCGTTATCTTGCGCGAGGAGGCAGCCGATGGATTCTTCGGCCGCCGAGATATAGAGCTTAAGAGGCTTACCGCGCCGGGGAGGAACCAAGACAGGCGGGTTCTTGAGGGAGACTTTGATTTGCGTAAACGCCACCTGATGCGCGTCGTTCCACACAAATTTATCTGAGTCCTTGAGTTTTAAGAGTGTGGAAAACGCTTTCATTTTTCCTGCCGAGTTGGCAATAAATCGGCGGAGGAAATTGATCTGTCCGAGTAAAGACTGGAACTTTTTCTTCGTCGTTGAGGGTGGGGCAGTGATGATTGCGCGTGCCTTATTTTCATCGACTTCAATCCCACGATGATGTACGAGGAAACCAAGAAAATTCCCGGCCGATACACCGAAGGCACACTTGGCAGGATTCATCTTGAGGTTGTGCTGACGCATGCGAAGGAAAGCCTGTCGGAAATCGTCCAGATGTGTCTGTCGGCGCTTAGATTTGACGACAACATCGTTGATGTAAACTTCGACGATGGTGCCAATTAACTCATGGAAGATGGTGTTCATCGCCCATTGGTACGTGGCGCCGGCATTCTTGAGGTCGAATGGCATGACAACCCATTCGTAAGTGCCGAGTGCCCCCGGGCAACGGAAAGCAATTTTGTGCACATCGGCTTCGGCAATAAATATTTGGTTGTACCCGGCATGTCCATCCATAAAGGATAAGATCGCATGATTGGCCGCGGCATCGATTAACAGATCTGAAATCGGCATTGTATACTCATCTTTGGGAGTTGCCAGATTCAGATTTCGAAAATCGGTGCAGATGCGCAGTGCACCATTTTTCTTTAATACAAGAACGATATTCGCCAGCCATTCGACATATCGAGCTGTCCGAATGAATCCGGCTTTCAAAAGCTGAACTAGTTCGTCCTTGATACTGAGTTGTACTTCGGTCGAGAATCGACGATGTGGCTGACGGAAAGGTTTAAATCTGGGCTTAATACGTAATTCATGCTCGACCAGAGTACGATCTAAGCCGGGCATTTCATGATAACTCTAAGCAAAACAATCTTTGAATTCCGTAAGCAAGGTACGAAACTCGTCTTTCATTCGTTGGGGAAGTAAAGCACTAATAAACAAAAGCCGTGGGTCATCGGCCGTCCCAACATTAATTTTTTCTAAAGGGTCCTTAACGAGGGGCCGATGATCCTCGAGCTCGGCCGGGGCGGCTCGAATTTTATCAAAAGATAATACAGGCCCATTATCTCCCTCAGCAAGGAACTCGACGAGGTTGACGCCCGAATTTGGTTGTTTAGATATCGTATACCAATGGGCCAGCAGTTGTTCCATAGTAGATGAAACCACGGCCCTACGTGCTTCCCGATCGGTGTCAAACATCAGCTTCGGGGAGAAAGTTAGCTAATCCGAGTCTCGCCGAATCCTGCTGGACAGTCTCGGCGCCAACCTCGATAGCTTTCTGAACGGAAATCCGAGTCGGCCGTCCCTCTTCATTGAAGCCTTGCAAAGTAATGTAGCCGACGTGATCGTCATAATACCGTGCTTGGATCATGTTAGCTTCGAAGGGCTGGCTATCGGCCGGATGAACAATGACCGATTTGCCGTCCCAAAAGACAAGCACTTGGTACAATGAGGAAGGAATACAACTGGTTTGATGAATCCAATCTCGGCCGAGTAGTGCATTATACTCGGTTTTGGAATCAACCACGAAAAAGGCGGTCATGTGGGTGCGACCGGCAATATTCACAGTTAACGGAAGTACACCTTTGGTGTGGGATTTGTCACCGACAAAACTACTCATTGTGATTCCTGACGGAATAAGCTCGTCATTTGAACGACGTAAGGCCTTCATGATGTTCAGAGGCATGATATTGACGGTAGCTCCACAGTCGACAAAAACTTTAGAAACTGGATATCCCTCGATGTGGGTCGTCACATACAATGGCTTTAAATGGTGGAGCTTGGCCGACGATGAACGAGGGAACAATTCGGCCAAAGCGGCCTTTAGACTATCATCTTTTGTTGTTGACTCACCTTCAGCAATCGATACAAAATCAACATGGCCGGGTTCCTCGGCAACCACATCTCCATCAAGGAAATTTGGTTGAGCCGTGCTTGATTGAAAATCGGCAGGTAACACATGGACCATACTGATTTCCATATTGTCCAGGACTGACGGGCCCATCTGGTCAAGACCTTCCTCGTTCGGTTGATCGGCGACTACGGACTTAGTTGTCGCCAAAGTCGGACAACGAGACTCTTTTGTCCCTTCTTCAATAACATCACTCGGCGGAGCTGCTTCGACGACTTGTTGGTTCTGCGTGACCACCTCAGGTAGGGTTGAGATTGACAATGTACTTGGGATCAGGACCTGAACCTGCTCCTGGTAATATAGCCGAGCATCCCTAGTGTCGAGATAAGCATCCAGACGGGCAATACGTGCGATTTCATCGGTCGTAAGGCCGAAGAGAGAAACCGCCGAAAATACTTCAAAGTGATATCGTAAATACTGAAGGTCCTCCAGCGAGAAAGGAAGGTCGGCTGCATTGATATCGGGTGTACGGGTCGACTTCAAATCCAAGGACACGGGTTTCTCGTATGTGCTGGAACCTTACTTTCAATCCTGGATCTGAGGTCTTCTGGATGATCCGCTCAGCATCCGGACAAGTCAGGACCAGATCAATGGTGTCCTGGCATGCCTTCGGCAAACCATACAGATCGTTGGCCGAATGTTTCTTATGAAACTCTCGCATATACTCCAAAGACTCCCCAAGGAACGGGGGATGCAAATTCCGTCGAATTTTGACCAAAGGTTCTTATATAGCCAGCGGGGATAATTTGCTTTCGGCCTCTTGCCTGAAATGTTCAAGGCGTGCCTTCATTTCCCCTGGTCGAATGAGAAGTTTGATCCGTTTATCAGCTTCTTCAAACATGGTCTCGACATCTTGATCGACCAGCCGTTTCCCCTGAGCCAACTCTGTCATAATTGCTGGAGGTGGTCGCTCATCATCAGTGACAACTGTGTTATTCGGCCGCCACTTAGGGGCCAAAGTTTCTTGGGCTGCTCGTCGGCGAGCCATGCAATCTATCCGTTGATGCCGGCATTTCTGAGATTTGGACAACGCGGTGTAGACGCCCTTCGAAGAATGGTATGTATACCAACGTTGATCTCTAGGCTCGGGAGGCTTAAAGGTCTTTTGGCTCCGCGATGATTCTGAACTGCTAGAATTACGCTTATAGTAATCATCGTCATAGAATGAAGCATCAAAATCGAGGCGTCGCCTGACCGGGGGTGTCTCTTCCATCCGTACTTTAGGACCGAGCCTCCCAAAAACCCCGGGGTGTTGGCCTTCATTGGCTACCCTTTGCCGAGTTGCGGCCACAGGTTGCGAAGAGGGCTTCTCCTCTGGTTCACTATCGACCTTCGCTCTACATTTCCTGCACAAAACCGCCGTCCCACTGTCTTCGTCGGTGCTGTAATCCATCATAGGTTTGACAGTAGCGGGCCCCATTAAAGCCGTAGGTGGTTTATTTGAACGAAAATCGGCCATGAACCGTGGCCGAAAATTCTGATTCCGCGGGCGTTGTGTCTCAACCACTTCGGCCTTGCCTTTCCCTTTGTCCTTGGGTAGGTACGCGTCGACCATATTTACTGTTGCCGTGGGGAACGGATCAGTATCAACACTCATCCTCTTCTCGGGAAACTTCAGTTTGCCATTATCAATCCAGCTTTGGACGTTATCGCGAAATACAACGCAATTGTTTGTCGTATGTTTGCTTGAATTGTGGTATTTGCAATACACCTTTCCTTTAAGCTCTTCGGCCTTAGGAATGTTATGACCAGGCCGAAGCTTAATGATTCTTGCTGATAACAGTTGGTCAAAAATTACGTCGGCCTTGGTAATATCAAAAGTATAAACCTTTGACGGTTTCAATGCTCCTTAAGTGGCCGAGCGACTTTTGGCTTCTCTAGAATCAACCTGAATCAATGCCTTGCAAACGTATGGCTTATCTATCACTATCTCAACCGCATCCACACTAACGCATTCATCCTCGGTTGATGCATAATTGACAGTAGGGTTCTTGTAAATCGTTCCCTGAGTTGGAGTCTTCGAAGTCTTTTCCTCGCGGAGCAAATAATCATACTGCTCAACATGTTGGGCTAATTCGTACATATCCCGAAAATTTGCCCCCAAGAATTTCTTTTTGTATTCGACGTCAAGGCCGTTCAAAGCAAGCCTAACAAATTCGACTTCGGGTAAAGGCACTCGGCACCAATTCCTAGCTGATTTGAACCTGGTAAGATAATCCATTGGTGATTCATCAGATGCTTGAGCCATTCGTGCTAATGAAGAGACCGACATCTCCATCCCCGGCCGATAAAACTGCTCGTGGAATTTCTCGACCAACTCCTCCCAGTTTTGGACGGAATTAGGAGGGAGATTGATGTACCAGGCAAATGCCGAGCCAGTCAATGAAAAGTTGAACAGCCGTAACTTATGGAAATCACTATTAACATCTCCGCATTGCGCGGTGAAACGGGCCACGTGCTCCAACGAGGACAGGGACGATTCACCGGTAAAAAAAGACTAAAATCTGGGATCTTGAAACCCTTTGGGTATCCAAACGTTTCCACGTAAGCTGGGTACGGATGAATAAACTTGGGAAACTTCGGCCCTTTCTTCATGGCCGAGTCGATTATCCGCTGAACTTCGGTCATATCAACAGGTGTTGCTTCGATCCTCTGGTCGGTCCCGTCTGACCTACTATTCGACCCTCCTCCTTTTTCCAATAATTGGTTTGAGCGGAGCAGGAATAGGCTCGGCCGGTACAATCGGCACCGGGTTGTTTCTTGGTGGACAATGTTGGAGAAGATCGAAAGGCCTGCTGCCACCAACTTTACTAACCAGCATTTCGAGTAGCCTGGTTTGTTGATCATTGGAACTGAGTATCGCGTCATGCAGCTTGTCAATGCCTCGGCTGAACGTCTGCTCGACTGACCGAGACTGCTCGTCTAGTCACTTTCGGAGAAACGACCTCGTTGGTGGGTCAGATCCTTCACCACCATCCTCGTCACACTCCTCTACTATCCCTTCATTGAGAACGCATGTGTTTCTGTTAGGGATTTCTAAACCACGGAGTTGACCGCCGAGATTAACTTCTCTCTCTCGGCGAGTCGCACTCGTGGACTCAGGTGTCGTAGT